GATCGGGTCCCCATTGCCATCCCTAAGCATAATGTCATTACAGTTTATAAATTATTATTTTCATATTTGTCATCTTTCTCATTCATAATATATTTTTAATTTTTAACACAACAGTACAATCACAATAAGTTAAAAATATTTAAGAGAAAAAACATATATATATATATCTTTTTTTTTCAATTCAACATAAGAAAGCCATTGAAGATAATATATTTTTTAAAATTTTTATGAACAAAAAAATTAAATTGTAGTATAGTTGACTCAACTCGACTATATAATTGATGAATTTATAAATTATAAAACATATAGCTAGAATTTCAAATACATTAGTTAAAAAATATATAAAAAATATATATTTTGAAGTTAGAGAAAACATTATGTTGTACAAAAGGATAATAGAGTTATCATCAAGATTAAAAAATAGAATTTGAGAGTAAAATTATAATTTTGAGATTTTATCATGTTTTTTAGTTGTGATATCGCATTTAGGTTAACTTTAATAAAGTTATGAGCTGAATTAAATTATAATTGGTTGAACTGTAAAGTAACTCATTATGTATTTTTCTTTTCTTTAATTTTTTTCTCAAAATAGAGGACATAATTAAAATTATGACTACCACGATTATTTTTAGATACCTTATCCTATATGTTTTGGGATGAAGGTCTGACCTATAAACATTGATATTCTCATGCTTCGAACAAAATATTTTTGTCAAAAAATTTTCATTGGAAAATTCAAAAGGGAGTTATAACATTGAAATATTCGTTAGATTGTCGTTGAAATTCCACTGTAACATATTTTTGTTGAAATTTTATCATTTTTCTTGTAGTAAAAGTAGGGTTCTAAATCTCTAAAAAATTATATTATATATAATATTGCGTGCAACTAGATATTATGAAAACTATTAATAATGATAGAAAATATAACAAGTTTAATATAATTTTCATTTAATTTATGATAATTAGTAATTTTTTCTAAAACAAACAAGATACATCTAGGTTAAAAAGTCTTTAATTATTTTATTAGTATTATAGTAACTAAACAAGGGGTAAGAATGATGTTCTATGTAATAAAAATGTAAGACTAGGCAATGAGAAAACATATAGCTCGCATTCAATCCATAAGGAAAAAAGAAAGTGATAAAACTAATTAACGTCCTATATCAGTTGGAGCTTTTTTTTTTTTTTTCAAACGACAGTTGTTGGAGCTGGCTAATGGAAAATATAAACATATTCAAGATGAATATTTGTTTTTGCTAGAACTTTTAAGTACATAAAAAATATATATTTTTGGCATTAAAGATTGGTATGTTAGTCTTAAATTTTTTATTTACAAATTTAATTATTGTCTACCATTAAAATTCTCAATTTTGAAAATCTTTTATTTATTTGTTACCTTTTTATACGTAATATATCACACCATTTCTTTCCAATGATGTTTAATTTGACCAATGTGTTGCAAATAAAATAAAAATAATATACTTATTTCTATCGATATAGAATATA